AAGATTCATTTCGATTATGCTCATAGTATGGATAGGACTAGCGGGCAGCGGGYTGCGAGTCGGAAAAACTTACCTGTTGGTGGTGTACCGTTGTGAGAAGAGTATGTGCCGACTGTTGAAGTTGGTGCGACAGATAAACCGAAGGGCCAAGCAGCAGCATCGAATCCCGCAGCAACCCGACAAGTGTTTTGGTGGCGTTCTCTTGCTGGAGGACTCCGTCCTCATTGCTATGAATGAACCTACCCGTACAGGTGAATTGGGTGCATTCGTATGTAAGGAGAGAAGGAGCACACAACGGGCGGGCACGCTTCTTCGAAAGGAGCATACTCCCCGTAAACCTGCGTATGTCCTCACTGAAGAATCACCTGCAGGGCAGTAGGCTACGGGTGACATACGAGCAAGTCTGAAAGAAAGACTGAGACAGAGAGTCCTACCTCCGGTGCCAATCGCTATGCTGCTCGACCTACTTGGCGGAAGCTGCAACAGACAGGCGTACGTCAGTTGGAGAGAGAGAGAGATCATTGATAGGAGTACGGTCAGCCACGCAAAACAAGTTTGATAGCTGCCCGAGGTAGAGCGCTCACTACTGAATGGAGAAGCTGCGAAGGACTGCTGGTTGCCGCAAGCTGCGGCTGCTGTTGACTGAGCCCTGGTTTGCTGTTGCACATTGTTGCACGCTGCTGAGTATTACCGCACACTATTGCGGGCTGTTGTTAACTAGGGCACGAGCTACTGTTGTGTTGCTGGCTGTTGCATGCGGCTAGTGGCTGTTGGGGATTGCGGCCATTGCTGCTGACCATAGGTGAACATCGTTGTTGGGCATAAGAACTGACACAAGGTACTGGGCGGCTGCAGCCGGGCTTAAAGGAATAGTTGGACTTAGAGAGGAAGTTCGATGCTATGCGTTGGGGGCTCGTCAGGAGGTTTACTTCGGCATTTGGAATTCGTTGACCAAGCTGCCAGTTGGCCGCCATTGCGGGGCCCTCACGCGTTGAAGGCAACGAGACCCTCTCACGCGAGTCTCAGTGTACCATCCTTGGATCTCGACTGTCTCAAATCCATCTCTATCTGCCCTTCTCAATCTAAGTCTAGTCCTTGGTTACGAGAGGAAGGCGGCAGGCGGGATTGCAACCCGTAGGTCCGCGTCAAGACTCTGTGGGGAGTCCACCCACCGATTGCGGGAGCCCTGCCGGAACCTAGGCGAGGTTCTGGAGGCAGGGAATTATCAGGTATACCATCTCCATCTGTACAACCTACTACTACCCATGTTTGCCTATCTCCCTATAGTATGATTGCGGTATGCATGTATTGTCCCTATGATTATTGTTTTCTCTTCAGGACTAATCAGACTAACAGAAAAGAATGTGTGAGAGTGAAGCCTAAGTTTCTACTTTGTTCTGATTGAAAGCAGACTAAGGATGAATTGGGGGAAGGTGGAAGGAAGGTAGACTG